GCAGCGCGGGCCCAGAGGGTGCCCGGGGGATGCCCGCGGGCCGCCGGCGCGCGGCCGTGGGCGAGCGTGTGTTCTTGGACACGGCGCACCCGCTGGAAGCGTCCGACTACGCAGTCCGTGTGCCTCGAGGCCTTGGAGGCTGTGCATTTTAGAGAGAGCACGCAGAGCTGCTTCAGCCAGCTTCAAGCCGACGGCCTTGCTCTCCACGCTTTTAACGACTAAATGCTGCAGGCACATGGTTTGTAAGTCTTCCAACACCTTAAAAGCAAGAGACTACGAGAACAGTTTTACAGGTATTCTTTATTAAACATCTATCGCATCGCCCGAAAACAAGGCACACACGAAGGGGCAGGTCTTTATTTCCTTAAACAAAGGAGTGCGTTGCTGGGCTCGTTGTTTTAATAGATAGGGGAGAAAGAAAGCTAGAGAAACAGGCGTTACGCCTTAGGTCAATATAAATAAAATCCAGGATCTCTCTTCTATTCGCCAGGACACCCCCTGCACGGACCTCACTTGCAGCATTCTACTGTAGTAAAAGTTGAATCCCAAGACAAATTAAGCCTTGTGACAGTACCAAACCAACAGTACTCATTTCCTAGGTATCACCTGGCCAAACTGCAGGGACTCTACAGTGAAACCAAAAGCCACGGTGCATGTTCTTCAGAGACTAAGCAGCAGTATTCGATGAACACAACACTAAGTCAGTTTTCTTGGTAGCTCCAGCATATCTTACTAGCTGCTGCCACATTTGGTTTTTTGGTTCATTTGGGGTTTTTGGTTTGGTTTTTGTTCTGTTTTTTAATTAGGAATTTTAATGGCACAAAAAAAGTTTTGCATTTTCACATCTGAAAGCTTAAACAAATGCCTCCAGCTTTGAAGGGAACTAAGTCATATTAGTAGCTTAGATTCTTCCTCCCCAAGAAAAGACTCCAGAGTATGCAAGTTTGAGTATCTATGAATCCGTAGGAAAAACTGGATACTACATTGTTCTAGTCCAGAAAGTGAGCACCGACTATGCATTAAGGGTTGAAGTAATTTCTACATTGTTTGGTAGAATTAAAAAAAAAAATCAGAACAGAAAAGAATCACACATTAATGAATCATACACTTACAGTCGCAAGTCGAACATACTCTGTGACTAGCAAAATGTCAAATGAAGGTCACCTTCAGCAGCAATTTTACAGACTTACAGCTTTGATATTTTAATACACGGTGCATCTAAGAAAAAAAATCCATGGAGGAGATGGGTTGTATAAAACGTATCTTCAAACGCAAGTGAATTTGCAATACAGCCTGCTCACCCCTACTGTGCAACTCAGGAAGAGACCGCTCCTTGCGCCACCAGGGTGAATTACTAAGCTAAGAGCGGCACAGAAGGCGGCAAGATACATGGAGTCACGCTTGCAAGATAAGGCTGCCGACCGGCAGGAAAAACAAGTTTTCCCATTAAAGTGTCAGTACAGCTTTTAACCAGGTGAATACCAGCAAACTTCTGGCAGTCCCTTCACTGCAGCCGGCACTCACGGCCTCATTTCTCCTTCCGCGGTTGCAGGGGAGCATTGCTTTTCTGGGCCGCATCCAAAGAGTCCACGGTCCGACCGGAGAAAACTGCTTCCAGTCGCTCATCGATCTCCGTTTTTTCCCTGAACGCACACCAGAGCAACAGCCCAGCGCACAGCAGGCTGACAGGCAGCACCTTCACCCACGGCCTCTCGTGGTCGCTCCCC